ACGTACCTTCAGTATCACCTTTCCATCTTCTTGGCTAAACATACTCGAGCACCGAGTCATGGTCTAGTTCATATTTATTTTCGAAAATATATTTACTAGGTCAAAGACTCCGAAGTACTCAATATAAAGACGATGGTGAGCCAATTTTTCCATATTATCAAAGATACCTTTGATAGAAAGGTTCTAGAAACGTCTGGTTTTGACGTTGCCAGGCAAATTTGATTGGCTAGGACGAATCATGGTCAGTTCAGATATGAAACAGGTTATCTTGAAGGAGTTTCAACGAGGTGAAATGCATTTAGACAAGACTGATGTACAAAATACAGTTAATTATCATTTTCGATCGACTACATCGATAGGCTACATCGTCCACGAGTGTGCGACACGTCTGAATAAACAACGCGTGCTGAAAATTTTCCGCTACACGTTCGATATAAAATGAGAGTCAGCTACTCACTCAACGTTTTATTGATCCAATCGGCGAGGTCTTCCTGCAACGGCAGCAACTGTCTGCTCTGTGCCGAGTGCAGACGCTCGTGATAGAACTCGGCGTACTCTTCCTCTTCCGGCGAGGGCCTCGGCACGTCGGCACGATTGAACACAGTGACGGAGGAGGGTCCCCAGCTGCTGCGGTATCGGGTATGCTGCGAAGACGGGAATCGATTGGCGTACGACATCCTGAGGCGGAAAGGAGCGAGAAGCGTCCCGGCGGCCCGCACCGGCCCCACTTCCACTCGTCCTCCACCAGACCGGATTTCAAATTTTCCTCCCCGTTTCACCCGGGTCGATGAGTGCGCTCCTCTCCCCCGCTGTCGGCACCCGCCGCGGATTCCTCACCGGTTACTGAAGAAGAGTCCCGGCGCCAGCCTGAAAACCAAAACCCTCTCTCTTATCACGCGTCTCTCAACTCGCCAGCAACCGAGCAATCGTCTTCCAACCTTTTTCGTCACTCGACACTCTTTGAAAATCTCCCGCGATTGAGGCGATGATCAATCCCACCACCGATCGACTTCTCCCCTCCCCCACCCTTTTCTTTTTTTAACTTCGTTTCCGAGAGCGAAATATTCCGCGAGTGAATTATAAAATTAAGGATTGAGAATCTTCTATAAACTATCTGAGTATCTGTTATAAACTCTCAGTCGATGGAACTTATTTTAATAATTTGTATACTTTCAATTATTGTTTATTATTTATGTAGTTTCGGATAATTTAAACATGTTTTCGTTGTTAAAACTATCAGTCAGATGAAACAGTTTAGTTATCATTTTCAATCATTTGAACAGTAATGTTATTTTAACAATATTTTCAATAGTTTTGGTTATTATATTCCAACAATTGTGTTACAGTGACCATAATAATAACTGTACATAATAAACTGTTCTGTTGGAGGTTATATTTAGATTAGGTTAGGTTTCTATTGAAGATTATATCGGATTATAGAAGATAATTATACTAGATAATTATACTAGATTATGTCAAGAGGACTGAACTTTATTTCACTGAGTTAGGGTTTTGTCAAGAAAAAAAAAGCATAAATTATTCTGAATCAAAAGATAAGACCCAAAAAAGACCAAAAGATAACAAAACTCTATCTGTAATATCTTTTCTTGTATTCTGATTCATTTCATCGTAATTATTGATTGAACAATTCATCGAAGATTATATTGAAAGTTATGTCAAGGTGACTAAGTCAAGGACAATATTTTCAATAGT